CCCCTTTTTTTATTGGCTGAAACCCCTCCAAAATCTCCCAAAATCTCCCCTTCCTATTTATATAAGAAATCCCCAGAAACCCTAAAATATCTATCTATTTCATCTCACTTATTCCTTTTCCTTTCTTTCTTTTCCACCCTTGGATCATACAAGGCCAAAATTGCCCCCTTTTGCCTTTCTCTAACCATTGCTATGAAGAAAGGACACAATCTAGAAAAATTGCTAGAATGTCTTGTCTTTTTTTTGCATGCTTTTGACTAGTGGTGGCAAGCCTGTTTGGTTGACAATGGAGAAAGGAGAGACCAAACAAGAATGGGATCTTTGAATCCTTTTCAACTCAAAGCCTTTTATAATGCAATCTATGTTTTCATAAATTTGACACTTAAACCCTAAGGACTCCATCATACGCTCATGGAGGCAAGGATGAGTGGGACTCTTCTTATGGCATTAAGATTTTCCAGCATCAAAGGAACTATTGTTGTCGATGATGAGTTTGACGATTTTCCCAATTTGAATGGAATTTGGACAAGTGAGGGATAAGCGAATATGTGGGAAAAAGTATATTTTATTAGGTAGACCAATGATGTGTGGCTAAGTGTGTGGGTTTGCATTGTAAATGTATCTTTTCCCTTGACAAAAATATTCAATAAATGTATATCCAAATAATTTGAATTCTTAGTGCTTTAGATATAATCATTTTATTGATGAATTAAACTCAATAAGTTCTCAATTTGCAAGTTTGAGACAATATGATATTTTATAATCATTTTTTAAAGGTTAAACCCCTATTTTGGTCCCTCAACTATTGTATGGACCCTTAATTGAGCCCTTAACTCAAAAAAATCCCTGATTTGGTCCCTATTATTTACCATTTTGACCCCAACTTAATCCTTCTGTTAAACTATCCATGTTAATTGATGGAAGAAGCATTACGTGTCTAAAATTTTCACACATAAGATTGACAACTAGATAAAATCAAATGACATGGCCAATAATTTTATCCACATAATTCCAACTCATCCCACCCAAAAAATTTCCCTTTTTTTAGCTTTTTTTCCCCTTTATTTCCTCTTTCCCTTTCTCTTTCCTTTTCCCTTTCTTGAACTTTTGCAAAACCAACAGATCTACTTTCTTTTTTTTCCATTTTTTCTCTCTTTGGTCTTTCCCTTTCTCTTTCCTTTTCCCTTTCCTTTTCCCTTTCAACTTTGAACGCAGTAGCTTTGCTGGGTTTTCAAACCCAGTAGATCTATTCGGTTCAAAATAACCTAGTAGATTTGTTGGGTTTTAGTGCCCAGCAGATCTACTGGGTTCAAAATAACCTAGCAGATCTACTGGTTTGTTTTTTCTCC